ATTCGTCTTGAATAGATATCTGTCTACAATAACAGGGGGGGAACAAAAAGGAACAGCAATAGCAACGAGTAAACAACAAGGAAAAGTGTATTTTTTTTTTAAGAAGAAGAAGAAGAAAAAAAAAGGAAAAAAAGGAGTTTCTATTAAATTACGGTTGAGATTACTAATGTATATTTGGGACTGACAGTAGCTGCAATTTACAGTTTGAATGATTTTCTGTTTTTGAATCAACAACTTTGAAGAAATAAATCAAAATAAATTCTTTGAGTTGTTCAATATAAGAAAAAACTTATCTTTATTTTTTTTCCTGTTCAAAACGGAAGAAAGCAAAAAAGAAAATTTGTTTTTTTGTCTTAGTGCTAAAAGTGATGAAAAAAATGGAATTTTGTTTTTTTTTTTTTCTGCTTACTCATCCTACTGTGAAAGTGGTTTTTTCAAATAGTTACTTGAGGTAATTCTAGTTTAGCAGTTAGTTTCTAATCATCATATAAAAATTTGGTCATAATTTAAGGGCGAAAAAATGTGCAATTCCAGTTCAGATAAAAGCGTGTCAAAGATTTATGCTGCCAATTATTGCTATCATTAAATTAACTGCCAAATTTGATAGGTTTTCAAGCAATCTTTCAAAGCAAAAGGGTGAAAAAGTTTCTTACAAAATGAATTTATAACTGTGAGGAAAACAAAAAGAATTTTACTTGAGAAAGTCATTATGGTTAAGTTGGTTAATTATCTGGTATAATTTGATTTTTTGACTTAAATCTTATTTTTCATTCTTTGTCTGACAAAATTTAAATCAAAAAAAAAAAAAGCTTCTAGATTATCAGTAAAGCAGATACAATTAGTTGTATAGTAACAAAAGATTTATGTACTTCTGTCTTCAACAAGCCATAACGAACCGTTTGCGTATTGTTCATCCGACATTGACTGTTTGATTAATCCAAATTTTCCGGTTACTTAAAGAATATCTATACTTCGGAAACTGGAAGTTGCAGTAACATATCTAAACAGATGAAATCAAGCAGCAGACGATCACGTGTAACGGTCAGCTTACCCGGCTTTTACTGTCAAATTCGATGTTTGCCAACTGTTGCAATAGGGCCGGTTCATCTTCTTTTCCAGCTTACCTGTTTCCTATCCAAACAATTTCTGGCAAATTCAGCTACAGCTTTTTAGAAATTCTAGTTCTACTAGCGCTGTTCCTATGGAATTGTTATACAAGAGATTTTTTTTTTCATTCAAATTTTATTGATTAATAGAAAATTGTTCACTTTTATAGTTTATTTTAGCAACAAAAGTACTACTGGCAAAAAAATGATTTTGAGTTGTTGCGTCATCAAGAAAATTTTGCATTAAAACATAAATTAGACTCTTCAGCAACATCAATCTTACTTTCCTATGTTTAGCTTTGTTTTTGTTTTAATTTCCATTCAACTGAGAAAAAGAATTTCTCCACGATGACAAATAGTGCAGTAAATTAAAAAAATGGAACTGGTATTGTTAAAAAATTTGAAGCTCAACCCGACAGATACCACCTGTAACAGCTTTTTCAGGCACCAGAAATGATTTTTGCTATATTTCTGAATAAACTACAATGATAGAACCTTCGGTAATCGTTGAGTGAAAACACAGAGAACAATTATACGTCAAAAATTTTTTATTTTCTTTTTTTCTGTTGTCATTCCGGAATTCATACAGTCTGACTCTAAGAATTACAAATAGTAAAACGAGAAACTGAGGAACTGAATTCCTAGCAACTCATGTCGTATAAATATTCTGAATTTTTTTTTGTGCAGTAAAAGTCCTCAACAGGTTACATCTGTGCCTAGAACCTGTTACTTTTAGAGCCTACAATCTCTGAATTTAGATTTGAAAAGTCTTTCTCCTATCTTTCAAGTACAGTTGTAGTATAGAAAAACGTAAATTTTACAAGTCCATTATGAAAAAAAAAAAAACAACGATTACAGTATCTTAGTTCCTTTTCGTTCAAAGAGAAAAAAATTTTTTTTGCACAGTTCTGACATCTGAAAAACAAAAAAAAATTTTGCAAATTAGACAAGTCTTAGAATCACAGTTAAAAATAGTTAAGCAAACCAAATTAGGAAACTTCAATGTAATTTTGTCGAATTCTGCACAAAAGCCAATTCTAAACTAAAAAAATGTTTTATTTTCATCGCGTTTGCATCTTATCGTCAAAAGTTTTGCAACTCAGAAGTACTCCCTCGCCAAATTTTTCATTTCAGATAGCAGAAAATTCTGCACTTATAAGATTTTCTTTAAAATAAAAAAATTTGAAAGCTTCCTTTCACTTTTTTTTAGTAATTCATTCGTACAGCATACTTTCTAATTTATTTTGACACAAAGAGAGGTAGAAAATATTTTTTTAACTTTACATTTATAAGTCATAAACTTTCTTTAGAACCAAAATTTACCCAATTTCATACACAGACAACGCGATAAAATTTTTGAACGCAAAAGTCCCAGATGAGCGGAAAAAAGGTTTTTAGACCTTATCGAAATATAAACTTAGCACAAAACTCACTTTTCCAGGTCCTCAACTTTTTAAATCCGCAGCTAGGCTTCGAAAAGCCGCAAAATTCAAAAAAATTGTGAGATGTGAAGTCGTATATAATTACTAACAGCTTGCACAGCTATAAAATTTCTCATTTAAATCTTTAAAAAACTGACTTTTTACTTCAACATAATCCTCACCCGAAAAAAAATTTAACAGTCAGTTTTAATATCCCATCATTATCTCCTGCTTACCACATCCAAAACTCAAAAAAAATTTCTCTTTCAATTGTCAACAATCCAGCAGCAAAGAAATTTTATAAGTTCTCCTCTCCAGCGTAGCATAAACGCAGTTTTAACTTGACACCTAGAGTAAACTCCTTGCAGTTTAGCTCTTCAAAACCACAAAAACAAGAACCACGTGAACTTCTCGAGAATAATACCTCCAAGTTTCGGCCAATAACAGTAATTCCGGAAGAACCTGCCTTCCCCAAAAAAATGACCAGTTCTACGTTACACTGCAAAAAATTGAGGATGCTACCAACGCTTATGAAGGTAAAAAAGAAAAAAATGCTCTCCAACTTTGCTAGCAACATCACTTTTGACTCTTAGATTAACATTTCAAAACCAGTAAGGTACGCGGTCGATCGTCAGCTACGCCAACATCAATTCAAATGCTGTTTCTTACTATCATGAAACTTCAAAGGCAATTTCATGAGCCCAAGTTGTCAGCCACCAAAACTGCTCTTTTATATTTGTATTGGCACAAAATAACAACAAACAAGGAAAGCACCAATAGCAAAGTTCTCTGGCATAAATAACAAATCAACTAACAAAAATCATTGTACCATTTTAAATTGTTCAAAAATTAGTTTCAGGCAAGATTTTCCAAAAGAAAATCTTTCAAATTTTCAAACTACAATAAAATTAAAAGATCATGAAGAAGAAAAGAAAATTTACAGAATCTGATTTGAACCAGCGACCAAAATTGATATGTCTTTCCAAGTGGACTAAAAACAAATACTACAGGGCTTCACTATGAAAGTATCTATTCCTCGTCTTCCTCTTCCGCAGGAAGAGCTAACAGCTGACGCTTGCTTGCAGTATTCAAAAATGATTTTAACTCCCATTCTACCTGAGCTACTCCTAACTGTTCAAGAGTTCCTAATATGATTCGGAAAGCTGAAAAATAGACAGTTACATTAAGAAAAACTTGTTAGAAACTACTTGGCTTCAATTTTGAAAATGCAGATTACTTACGCATCAATTCAAAACGCGGTCCAATTTCTGTCAGCTCAATTTCACCCGTTTCTCCTTTTCTGTAGGTATGATGACGAAAACTGATAAAGTCTTCTTCATTGCTGAAAGTTATTATACGGCGACTGGTCGGCTTTGGAACAGGGTAAAGGTATTTCAAGATATTTGTTACCTTAAAAAAACATCATTAACGATAAAAGCAAACGACAACTGAGGTAACAAAAGGCAAAGTCTAATATAACGTTACTTAAAAATGACCAACAACTTTCAAACAAGTCTGGACCCACTGCACGTAGCTGTATACCCCAAACGTTCTTCGTACTCATTTAGGAATCGCTACTTTAAAATTACCCAATTTACCAAAAATCTTGACTATCTCAACTCAGTCCCTTTTGAAGCCAAAGTACTAGTATAAGCAAAAAAACTTGAAAACTCTACTCTTTTCCCAAGGTTTGTCGTAAGATTAAAAAATAGAAGATGCGGGTACTCTTCGGAAACAGGAATTTTTCCAGGCGTATCGTGCCTCATGACGACATTAGAGATGTTAAAATAAGCTGTTGGCCCAAGAGGAAGATGACAAACAATCATGCAGTCAGGTTTCCCCAAAGTCTCTTGGAGTACAATCACATCCGTGACCTGGCATCAACTTTAAGTTAAATGACAAAACTTCAAAATTTTGTATAAGAGCCTTCTTTAGCCCAAAACACAATTAAAACTGTCAGAGGAAAGAGATTAATAAAAAAATAGGAATGTAGCCTAATGCTCTGAAAAAAACAATCAAGCAATGATCATAAATTTTTTATATTCGGTAACAGAGAGTGAGTTAAGCGCCAAAGTTATGTTGAATAAGGAACTTGCAATTTCAGAATCAAAATAATGTGCAGGAAATGTATAATCAGGATATTAACATGACTTACAGAACTTGTTGTTTCCAGTGAATGAATCTCAGTGCCAGGGAAAAAAATTATCAATATGACTGATAAGAATGTGCAAAAAAAACCCGTCAAATTATGAAACTTACATCATTTGCTCGACAAGCTTCAATGAGGTGTTTTATATCATAATGACCACGATTCATCCGCTGTGCATTGGGAAACATAAGTCGCATTTCCTTTATGTGAACAATAATCAGTAGCAATTCATAAAGAAATAAATAAACACACGAGGCTACTAGAAGCTAATGTACATTTAAACCACCAACCAGATTAACTCTCTCTACCCCTGATTTTAATCGTAAATCACTTATTTTTTCTTATTTTTCAGTATGAGAGAACAAACTTTATAACAGAAATGAACCTTGGCAAAAACTTTTAGTGTAGCAGACGGCAATCGACTAGTTGTAATAACAATTTTTGGATCGGCAGTGCCTGCCCATCTATATTCATCATCTATTACCGATATCTGAGCTGGAAAAAATTTTTCGCAATGAAAAGATGAAAAATGAATGCATAAAAAGTGCAATAAGCATTCAGCCTTATAAGTCACTAATGAGGTGTCCTCACAAGCAAAGCCATTATTTTTTGAAACGAATTTCAGTTACATACGAGATTCAAATCCAGATGGTTTTTCTACTTATATTCTTCCACTTGCCAACAAGCCTTTAAGCTAATTAATCCGTTAATTCTAATATTAGTTTTTTCTGGCAACCGACAAACGTAATATCAATAAACAAAATAGTCTACCGCCCCACTGAGCTTCTTTTTGCAGATTAATGGCATCTTTCCTCAATTCAGTGGGAATTGGCCTATTATCTTCAATCGCGGAGCGAACTCGTCGCCTCTTTTCATCCTCAATTCGTTGCTTCTTTTCGACGGTTTTTCTGTAAATGTATTCAGCGCGCAAACGTGCTTGTCGTCGAAACATTTGATTCTAAATAACAACTACAATTAAAAAACTCAAATTCTTTCAGTACGGAGCAGCGTCAACGGTAAACAAAGGCACTTTTAGGTTTGGCAGTACATCAAGTAAGAGAACCTATTTCTAAAGTGATTCATAACAACTGCATTGTAATCTCTCCCTTAAAAAAGTCATAAGATAAATAGCGGAAATACTTGGATAATTCTAAACTCCAGGTAAAACCAAGGAATTCAGTGTTTAAAGAATGCGCCAATAAGACCATAAACAATAAACAAGACTATCTTTCAGGACCTTTCGATTCAATAAACCAAAAAATCGCAACATTTACGGTCATTTGAAGCCCATAAAATAAACTTCTATCAAGAAAGAAAAAAGAAATTTTTTTGTCACTCTTTGAAAGAACACATCACCGAAAAATACCTGGCAATAAGTTCCAAAAATTCTAGTAAAACTAAAAATGCGGTCAGCCACCAAAAGCAGAACTCGCATCTCCTTTCCCTCCTCTCCACAAGACCACCTTTCAGAACCTTTCGATCTACTAAAGCGAAAAAACAAACACCTTTCATGGAGAAACAAATCATTAATTTTAGCAAGAAGCACGATAAAATATGGAAAACAGTGACAGGCGAAAGAAATTGATTCCAGAAATTTTAAAAAATGAAGTAGAATCATAGAGATCGCAGCACCGCATCATCAATAAGCCACTTATTTTTGCGGTTTCACTTAAGAACGCAAAGCATCAGTTCCTAAAAAAATCTCGCTGCCTTGAGTCGATTCTGGTTATGTTAAAATTTATATCTTTTTCACTTCTTAAACCTCCAAATTTTTTGTTTTAAAGAATCAAAGTTGATATACTTTCCTCAGAGGTACACTGGTTCACAGCTGGATGAAAAAAAAGAGACGTACCGTACGTTTCTATTGAGTTAAGAAACTTATAAATTTTCAAAGCAAATTTGAGTGAATTCTAAGATTATAGCCTGCTGCCACGACTAATTAAAGAACAGTTGGAAGAGTGAGCTCAAAAGTAAATATGAGAAGTTGAGGTCGTGAACCGATCAACAACAGCACCTAAATTTTGGCAGACGAGGTTGTCAAACTCCATTGTTTACGCCAGTGAAATAAAGAAACTGATTCAAAATAAGTGAAATTTAGATACATGCTACCCGTTACTAGCGATTTTTTCCTCAGAACTGATTTTGGCTACAACTGAAGTTTAAGTAACAAGCTGGAAAGACGCGTCTTTTCACAGCGTCATGTCAAGGTTCCCACTCCAGCGTAGTCATTATTATGCAGCAAACAAAAAATTTTTCAAGTAAATTCTTGTCCATCGTAGGATACCCAAAAACAATAAATCTCCTCTGTGAAACACTTTGGTGATAAATTACAAAAGGGACTTTTTTGAAGGTTTCACTGAACTTTGGTAAACTTTGTCGATTACTGCATTGCTTCATAGCAGGAATTTCACAGCTCTGCCTTCCTTCTGAGGTTAAAGTTCATTGTTAAGTCTGTTGTTCTGGAGTAACAGCCAGTGTGACTTCCTCTAAAAAAGTCTGTCTACCCGTACAGCATATAGTTTATCTTCTGTCACTTAACCATGTAATCAAAACTAATCCTGAAAGCCCTTTGCGTTGACTTATTTTAAAGCCCAATTTCTTCTAACATGAGTTTCTACTATAGCTCTTAATTCTGCCCTGCAGCAGTTGTAGTTCCTTTGCTTTTCGAAGCTGCTTTCTTATAAGTTTCGCACAGTCTACTCCTATAGCTTTTGGTAACTTATTCCTTTCGAAGTCTACATGCTTCTGACTACTACTATTCTACTCTCCAGCAGTGCGGTTTCATTTGCCTTCTTTCGGCAGTTTTTTCAAACTTCTTTTGCCATCAACCCTTCACTTATTTATTCCCTCTAACTGTCCCATTTGGTGGAGGAAGGCTCTACAGCTCAGCGAACACTGATGGAAATTAGCCTGAACTGTTTTCGACACCAAAACCAGTTACATTTTAGAAAATAATTTCTACTTTTCAAGCTTTACTCGTACAGAGACTCATCACCTCCAAGTAATGAAGAAAAAGACAACTGACCAGTACAATAAGTATTGGAATGAAAAGAAAGGCCAGAAGAATTACTTGGAAACTCAACGTAACTTTTGAAGTTGCGTTTAAATTCTGTATACGGATCATCTTGTCGGCTTTGAGTGCTAACGAAGAGGCTTGTTTAAATAAGCAGCGACTTTAGCCATGAATTGGCACTTTGCCTTCATAATTGGCAATTTGTTTCTTGTACAATAGCATAGACAGTGGTATTGCGCTGCTGCAAGGCAACTGTTCTTGCAGTGAAACTTCTTTTCTGGGTGATATATTTGTCGAGTGGGCTGTATAAACTTTTTGTCTACAGGGTTACAATTTTTAAATTGCATATGGATTCTTAGCTTTTGTTGATGTAGCTTTTTGTTGCCACTAGCAGTGATTTGGGGTACTTGAGAAGCAATTGGGTATATATGCATATAATGTGCAAATTATATATGTAACTTCATGAAACTTGATTTTTTTTGTTATGGCCGTTGTATATTATTGCGCTTCTCTGACAATTTCGTCATAGCGAATTTAATTATAAAGAGTGATGGAATTAGCGTCAGTAACTTAACAAGCCTGCTTGGTGGTTCATTCGTTTTTTTTTTTTTTAGAATTATCCTCGTGCCAAGTAATGGGTTGAGCGAAGTTCATGGAAACGTTATGACCTTTTATTTGCCTCGGAGGCGCCTGTTACCTCTAGGAAAGTTATCTCTTTCAGCTGCCGTTGTTCTCTTCATATACTTTTGGTTGCCGATAGGAGACAAACCCGAAAAAGTACACCCAAGGCTGGTTTTTTTGAGTTGTGAGCGCTGTACAATTAGTAGCAGCACTCTTTGTAATTTTTCAGAACCGTACAAAGCTTGAATATTTTAAGAAGTAATTTTATTCAAAAAAATAAAAAAATACGGCTTTAGGTTCCCACCACAAACCCTACCAGCATATTCCTGTCCTTCTTCTGGTGCAGCATTCGAGAACTTTAATGAGTCTTTTCTGAAATCTTTTTGGAAAAATCACTCGCAGACTGATCAAAAAATTTTGGTTTTTGTGGAAACTCTTTACTCAAAACTCGGCAGGCAAATAGTCAATATTTTGAACGCAGCGAAAGTTTCATACAAGGTTAGCAAATTGTCATTTTTTTGGGATTCAAATCTGGTTTTAGTTCAGTTGCATTTTGATGTTTTTGTGATTTGCTTCCTCTCGTCTTTTTTTAATTTATTTTTTTGCTGCTTTAATTTTATGTAACGTTTTTTTTAGGTTTCTTTCTACTGATTTTAGAAAACTGATAGCCCTTTTTGTACTGATTTAAAAAAGATAAATTAAGAGCAGGATGAAAATGTTGTTATTTGCTTCTGAAGCAGTAATGATTTTGAAGTTCTTCTGAAAAGGCCGTTTTAGGTCGATTCACTGACGAAAAATGTTCCACTACTGGCAAATGCAAAGCGTGGTCGATTTGCTGTTATTATATTCGAAAACTATTACAAATATCTAAACTTACCATCTTGGAATCGTCAACTTTTGGATAAGTATTGCCGAGATTATGATGTGGGGTTGATTGGATTTTTAGCCAGTCACCCCACAGACTACATACGCCTTAAAATTAAGGATTCTTCACTAACGTTAAGACAGAAGCAGTATGCAACGAATTTCCGTTTTGACCGAAGATCTCATATTACTTATATCGCAAGGTCTGGGCCAGTGCTAGAGGTTGCAACTCCTCATAATGGTGATTGGGTGCTGTTTGAAAAGTCTGACGGTGTGTTCCTTAGGCTGTTTCTTAAGGTTTCTAGTTCAGCTCACAGAGTAGACTTGCTCTGCTGTGTATTTCTGATACTGATTTTTCTTAAAAATGGAACACTAAACATCTGAATTGTTTGGGCAGTGAGCCTGATTTTTTTGATTATCGTTTGGTTTTTTTTTATTAGGAAGGCTATAATTATCTGTTGTAAATGAATTTTTAATTGTTGTCTTTTCAGGTTACGAAAGTATCATCACTGCAGAAGATAATGAGGGTAATGAAAGAGCTGCCGTTATATGGGATCAGGGCAACTCAGATAAAATCCATCGAGTGCTGTTTGGTCATGGGCTTTCCTATTGGATGAATGAAGTGGCATTTATTGATTCGTTAAGGTTTCTTCTTTCTTAAAACTCATTTTTGTTTTGGTAAAATTTTTTTTCGTCGTTTTACAGAAACTCATCATTTAGGTTCATGAGTAAAGGTAAGTTTGACCTTGGACTAGATCGTTTCATTCAAATTGACGTCGATGATGTATTCGTTGGCGCGAGTGGAGGACGTATAATTCGTAGTGATGCTGATGCCCTGCTCGAGTCCCAAAATCGCTTGAGGAAAAAGATTGATAATTTTACCTACTGTCTTGGTTTTTCGGGCTATTACTTTCACAGCGGAGATCGTCTTGAAGATGGCGGCGATGAACGGCTTATTGGTGCGTGTCAGCATTTTGGTTGGAGTTAATAGAAGCTATAAAGTAATTTACAACAAACGCACGGAGTTCGGGAATTCAACCGGGGGGGGGGGGGGGGG